AACTGTCCATTAAAAGTGGTTAATATGTCAAATTTGTGGTTGTTACCAGGTGTATGTCACCCAGTCAATTCTGACTCACAGTACAACAGGCCAGAACAGTCTGGATCTGTACCATCACAAGAGCTGTTATGCTTGAACCCACTGGTGCAACCACCCTATCACTCTAGCTCATTGAGGATCTTCCTCTTTTTTTCATGATTTCTCTACAAAATATGATGTCCTTCTCTAGGAACTGATCCTTCCTGAAAATATGCCCAAAGTACACGAGACAAAGCCTAACAGGAGTATTCTGGCTATACTCTAAGATATTTTGACAGTTCTTTACATATTCAATGCTTTTCATTAACACCATAGTTTAAAGGCATTTATTCTTCTCCAGTCTTTTTTATTCATTGTCCAGCTTTTATATGCATACAACAAAACAATAACTATCAGGTACATCCTAAAATGACATCTTTGCTTTTCAACACTTTAAAGCCATTATTTGCAGTGCATTTGTCAAGGGAAAATGTCATTTGATTTCTTGGTTACTGCTGCCATGGGTGCTGACTGACAGTGGGTCCAAGCAAAACCCTTGACAACTACAATCTTTTCTTCATTTATCATGAAGACGCTTCTTGATCCAGTTGTGAAGTTTTGTTTTTTTTAAATGTTGAGATGTAATACATATTGAAAGGTGTAATAATCCAGAAGCCAAGGTTGTGGCATCTGCATATTATAGACTGTTAATGAGTTTTCCGCCAATCTTGATGCCAACTTCTTCTTCTTATCATTCGCCTTCTCACGTAACTACTCAGCATATAAAAGGATTATGTCTGAATGAAAGAACACAATCCTGTTACATACCTTTCCTAATTTTAAACCATTTTCTTGCTCTGTTCAAGCCTGTCTCTTGGTCCATGTACATGTTCTGCAAATGCACAATTAAATGTTCTGGAATTTCCACTCAGTGTTATTCATAATTTCTGATGCACACAAATATCTTTGCATTGTCAATAAAATACGGGTAAACATTTTTCTGGTATTCTCTGCTATCAATCAAGATCCATCTAACATTAACAATGACTCATTCTACAGGCTCTTCTGAATACTATTTGAACTTGTGGATGTTCTCCATCATGTACTGTTCTAGCTGGTTTTTAATAATCTTCAGCAATATTTTACTTGCACGTGATACTAACGTGTTGTTGTGATGTATTGCTGAGTCACTTGCAACTCATAGCGACTCTATATACAACAGCTCTGAACCCTGGTCTACCTTGAGCCAATTTCATTTTCTCCAACACCTACCTCCATTCTCCAGTTGCTGAGTCAATCCATCTCATTCAGGGTCTTGCTCTCTTGCACCGTACCTCCACCCTTTCAAGAATGATGTCCTTCTCAAGAACTGGTTCCTTCTGGCAACATGCCCAAAGTATGTGAGATGGAGCTTCAAAATCCTAGTCTCCAAGGAGCAGCCTAGTTTCACCCTCTCTGGAACAGTGTGTTCTCTTAGCAGTCCATGGTACATTTAATACTGTTCTCCAGCACCACAGCTCAAATGTTTCACTGTCCAGTTCTCTGATGCACACCTAGTAATTTTGAAGATCATGCCTGGATCAGGAGCACTTTAGGCTCTAGACTTGTCATCACTGCTCTTCAGTACTCTGGAGAGGTCCACGACAGAAGACTTTTCCACTGCAATTTGTCTTTTGATTTCCTGGCTGTTGGTACCAAGAGTGTTCATTGTACCATACCAATATTGTAATTTCTGCATTCTAATGGATCATCTTACTTGGGAATGGGCACAACTATAGATCTCTCCCAGGTGGTTGGCTGGGTCTCAGTATTCCAAGTTTCTTGACATAGATGAGTGAGCATGTTCAGTATTATTTTTCTGCTGAAACATTCCTCCATGTATTCCATCAATTTCTGAACACTTATTTTTCACCAATGCCTTCAGTGCAACGTGGGACATCTTTCTTCAATACCACTGGCTCATGATCACATGCTACCTCCTGAAATGGCCGAACACTGACTAGTTCTTTTTGGTACACTGATTCTGTGTATTCCTTTCCTCTTCTTTTGATGCTTCCCAAGTCATTCATCATTTTACCTTAAGAATCTTTCAAATTACAATGTGAGGCTTAAATTTTTTTTCTGCAGTTTTTTTGGCTTGAGAAATGCCAACTAGTTCTTCCTGTTTAGTTTTCTAATTCAGTCTTTACACATTTCATTATAATACTTTTACTGTCTCTCCCAGAAACTATTTGAAACACTATTCAGCTTACTTCATCATTTCTTCCTTTCACTTTAACTTCTCAACATCCTAGAGCAAGTTTCAGAGTCCATCTGACATCAATTTAGGTATTTTCTTTTATTCCTGATTTTTAAATTACCACTTGCTTCATTTATCACGACTCATCTAATCCTCATTGATTAGTAATAAATAAGACAAATCTATTTTTAAAATAATCTCAAAATTCAGGTGTGATATAGTAAAGATTTTGACTCATGTGGATTTGATTTTTCTTCAGTTTTAGCTTGTTTTATGAGAATTATGAGGCTCTTCATAAAGCCAGTCTCTTAACCATGTCAACCGAGACTAACTTTTTCCACAATCTTGTCCACAGAAATAGTTATTCTGATTTCAGTGTATTCCAGCTACCAAGGATTATATGTATAACCATCATTTACGTTGTTAAATAGAAAATTAATGCTTATTTTTCAATGCTAATTGATCCATTATATTTTAGGGAGTATGGAACACATTTTAACAAATCTAATGATCTCTTATGAACACTAGCTGAGTGACAGCTTTGAGCTATTATACATACACACACATATGCAGACTTGATTTCATCTGTGAAGGAAACCTGATATTGACTAAGATCCAAATGTCAGTCATTTTTCGCCATTTACAGACTTAGCAAGTCACCTATCTATTCTGAATCTCTACATTTTCATATATAAAATGCCCCACAAAGTGTATAAGATCATGAGTAATAAAGCCTTTGCTAACCAGAATAGGGTCACAAATAGAAGCTTCCGTAAATTAAAGAACTGTAAATCAGTAAGAAGACTGACTGATCTACTCTCTTTAGCCAGGCACATGATTTTCATCTGGACTTTCAGTAAACAGTGATGATTACAGTCATGACAATAACAATAGAACATTCTCTTTGGAGGAGTTATAGACCAAATCAAATGTGGAGTTGGCTTCAAAACAACCACGTCACATTTGTCATTTGATTGTCTATTCTACTGGGACCTTCAGAGAATAAAATTTCAGATAGACATGATTTGATACACAAGTAAAGGTTATCAGAACTATCATTTCCAATAAAAAATGTTTTCAAAGGAATTTTCTTCTGTGGTTTTGAATGAGAGTTCAAACGAGTCTGGAACAGGAGTAGTGGTTGGGAGCATGTCATCAGGGAAATTGTGAGAAACAGCTGTATAAGAACACATATCTGATAGTTGCTAAATTAATTCTGGATGACAGCAATAGAGGTCTCTTCTACTTACATTTTGAGGAAAAAAGAACACAACACTGCACTCAAAAAGGAAATCTATCTTATACCTTAATTATGTTGGAAGGAGAAAAAAGAAAGTGCCACTACTGTATAATATATGATGGCAGGAAGGAAAGAAGGAATAGATATGCAAAAAATTGTACTTACCCTATGAGATATCTGATAATTCTAAAATAATTTTAATCATGTAAGAAGAAATATATGCACATCAACAGCAGAGTAGACACAATGTGGACCTAAAGAAATAGTAAAAATTGGTATAAATTCTCTAAGTGTGAATTCACATGAAATTAAAAAAAAAAAACCACCATTAACAATTATCTAAAATCAATGAAATTTAAAAAAAAGTCAGCAGCATTGCAATCTTGACTCAACTCTACATGGCAGAATAGAACTGGCTTATAGGATTTCCAAGGCTGGCTGCCACATAATCATCTCATGGAGGCTGGTGGGTTCAAACTGCTGACTTTAGGTTTCAAAGTGTTTTAAAAAAAAGATGTTTACCCTTAAATCCATGTATCATTTATTTATAAGGAAGGTAGAGAAAAACAATACTCACTTTGTGATTTGACATACAGAAGAAAAAGGAAGAAGTCACTTTATTATCCTGAAAAGAAATTACCAGTATTTATTGAATTTTAGTGTTTGGTGGAACTCCCTGATTAAAACAAGCTTGGAAGCAGGAGTGGTGCCCACTTCCGAAATAATTTGCCTCTGGAAACTCTATGAACTTGGAGAAATGATGAAAGTTATACAGGTGTTCAAGTCTTTTGTTCACAGGGTTCCTATGAGTCCCTACGACTCAACGGCCCTTAACAACAACAACACTGAATTTTAAGATCCTTTTCATAATTATAATGAAGGAGGGGGGAAACTACTACAGTTTTCTTTGAAGCACCAGAAATTGCTTCTTTTTTCATTTTTAAAATATGTTGTGAAGTGCCATTCAAATTTCCACTCATAACCACACAAAGTGACAGAAGAAAACTACCCATTGAGTTGTAATTTTTATGGGAACAGAGTGCCAGGTCTTTTCTCCCAAGTAGCACCTGGACAGGATTGAACTGTCAGCCTTCTGTCAACTTTCTGGTTAGCAGCCAGCAGTAAGCACTGCTCCACCAGCACTACTTTTTAAAAAGAATAAAAAACACCCAAACTCATTACCATCAAGTTAGAAGTGATCTATAGCTAGCCTTCCAGTAGGTTTTGAGAGCCAGTAAATCACATGGGAGGAGACAGACTATCTTTCTCCCACACAGCAGCTAACTGGATTCGAACCTCCAGACAGGAACTACCTCGGGGTTAGTAGCTCCTTACAATGCTGACAAAAACCAGGCAAGACCGAGCTGCTGTATGCATCCTGGTATTTAGAACCAGAATGCTTTTTTTGAGTGGCTATTTCCACCCATGGTTCAGCCTGCCATTTAAAAATGCTTCGTTTATCTATTTCAAGCACCAGCTACTTCCTCTTCAAGTCTATTTATCTCAAACAGGTGTGATGAGCATAAAACTTGTAAACGCGGGAGAGCTTCCTGGATTAAGGCGTTTATAACGAGCCTTATTATTATAGAAAATGCTTTCCAAAACAGTGCCTAAATGAAATTTCAATTACTTTTTTTGCTTGTTTGTTCTTCCAAATGTGTGTTTCTTGAGTTGGTAACAAACAAAGCTGCTCACTCCAAACTCTGAGAAGCTAGCTTCCAAATAATAGCACATAATAAGAAGCCCGAGAAATTACCCTAAGTGGGTACGCTACATCCTGACGGGCTCAATCAAAGCTAATAATGCACAGCTTTGGATTCAGAGGGGAAAAAAATTAAAAGCACAATCCAAGCTTCCAGGGCAACCAGCATTCACTCTCCCTCCTCACCCCTCCTCTCTCTTTAAGCTGGTGTCCTTAGGAACACCAGAGCTGAGGGCGGGGGGACTCCAAACCCAAGCTTTCCTGGTTAGAGCCAATGGAAAGAAACCGCAACAGTGTGAGCAAGCCCATCCCTGCAACACTGAGTGGGAGCAGGTCATCATTACACAATCAGCATCAGCTGGTTATTCAGAAATAGCAACCTGCAGCTCCACACTCCAAGCCGCGACCAGCCAAGTTCCCAGCTCTTGGCTGCTCCCAAGATAAATTCCACATTCCTGTGTACAAAATCATTCTGAAGAGCTTAATCAAACAACTCACTCAACTCTCACGTTCGCTAACGCGGTCACCATTTTTTCCCCGTGTTCCTGAATCCCCTCGATTTCATTATTTCACACTGAATTCTCAACTACTTACACAAAAAAAGAGCCAGAAATCAGAACGCCTTTAACCACACCTACCTGCTCCTTCCACCCAGCGCAGTTCGCTCGCCCACACAGTGGAGCCTCTCTTTAGCCTCTGGCTCTTGGCGTCCCAGGAAGTCTGTTCCTGGCGAGAAGCCGCAGAGGTTTCTGGGAGAGTAGTCAGCTTCTCCCAAAGCTTTACGCAGGAATGCGCCGAAAGACTACAACTCCCAGAATCCTCCGGGCTGTCCTCGCAGAGAACATCCTACAATTGCCTACCTCTGCGAGCGTCTCTGCTCCACTGTTTTTTTGCAGGTTTTGAGATAGTTGTTAAAAAAGACAAAACAACACTGAAAGTAATTTTGATTTGAGGACCTAAGGGAATATCTTCTATTGGGAGTGATTTTTCCGTAAGTAGCTTTTTTTTAAAAAAACACTTTATTAAATCTGGATTATTTTCCCACAAAATATTTTGCAAACACATAAAGTGTGTAGTTGCCCAAATATCAGCTGTGTAGGTTTGTATGGATGGGCGTCATAAAGTTGTGTGAGTAACTCGGCTAACGTTTGTCTGAGGTTATCAGTTAAATGGAAAAAATAACTTTAGAGATAATAGTTTGTTTTTGAGAATCAAGGAACTAAAAAGAGCTTTTCATACTTTCCACGGGCCTCTTACTTCAGAGGTCATATCATAGGAATGTCTGCTGTCAAGGACCACTTCTGTTATACCAAGGAGCAATGGTGTCAGTTTAAAATCTATGGCGTCTCTGTTTCAGGCCATGGTCTTTTCAATCACTTGCTATTATGTCTCAAAGTTGGACAGTGAAGAAGATGAAAGAAGAACAATCTATGCTTTTCAGTTGTGATATTGGAAGAGTGTACTGAATGTTGTTGTTATGTGCTGTCTAGTTGCCTGCGACTTATAGCGAACTTATGTACAACAATCCTAAAACCTATCTTGTGCCAGTCTTACTGTCTGGTACACCTACTCCCCATTTACTCTAGTCTCTGAATCAATCCATTTTATCGAGAATCTTCTGCTCTTGCACTGTTCCTCTACTCTCCCAAGCATGATGTCCTTCTCCAAGGTCTGGTCCCTCCTTGCAACATGTCCAAAGTATGTCAGACAAAGCTTCAGAATCCTTGTCTCCAAGGAGCAACCTGGTCTCACCCTCTGTAGGACCACCCTGATTGTTCTCCCAGCAGTCTATGGTATATTCAATCATTTTCTCCAGTACTACAGCTCATAGGCATCAATTCTCCTATCATCCCTGGTCATTGTCCAGCTTTCTGATGCATAGCAAGTAATTGCAAAGACTATGGCCTGGATCAGGGGCACCATAGTCTCTAGACTGCCATCGTTGCTCTTCAGTACTTTGGAGAGGTCTCTGACAGCAGACTTTGCCAATGCAATTTGTCTTTTAATTTCCTGGCTGCCTATACCAAATATGTTGATTGTGGAGCCAAGCAAATGAAAGCTGTTAACAATCCAAATCTCTTCACCATTTATCATGATACTTGCAATCGACCTAATGGTGAGAATCTTTGTTTTCTTTTTTTT